TGAGAACATGTTTTTCAACTTAGAAACCAGAAGGCATATATATAAAAAGAGTATAATTTCACACGTTTAGACACATTACTTGTTGTTAAACTTACTATTATAGATCTTGCCTCCTCGTTAACATAAGATCCATTCTTTTTCTTGTGAGTTGCAATGTACAATTCTCCTTGGCCTACAACACGTTCAAGATTTATTTCCTATAATATACCCGATCATATAAGTTTAGAAGAATACTATAATTTTTTTTGTTAAATTTAACAATAAAACAAAAATAATTTACCATTTCATGTTGTTTTGTAGATAAAAGTTTTGCACCACCGGTATGAGGAATCTTTTGTTTTTTTCTGACTTCAATATTTCTCTTACATAATTCCTATGAAACAAACAACTTATTAATTCAAAACCAAGTTTAAAAAGTAATTATTGATAACAATTATTTGTTATAACTACCTTATATTTTGAACTTAGATGATAATCAACAAATGAAGACCACTGATCTTTGTGAATACCATTAGAAACATTAGCAATTAATTGCTCTCTTGATAATGAACTATCATAGACTCGGTTCCACAAATTCATCTTTCCATTTCTATAATTATTTGACATGCAAAGTGAACAATATCGCTCATCAGATTTTTCTAATGTTTGGAAATGAAATAAATTCTAAAAAAAAAGAGGCAATTAGTATATCATAAACCTTAACAAGAACAAAGCTGTAAATCTTGGCTTATGTATATACCTTTAAAGTGTTAAAACAATCATCCTTATATGATTTTGGAATACTTGGCCAGCTACCAAAATTTATTGGAACATTATTTGAATCTTTAACAATACGACCACAAGTTGATGAAAGAAGTGAAGTTACTTCTCCATAGGCTTGCAATTGTCTATCAAATGACACAACTATATGTTCACCATGGGGCATCTAAATCCTCTTGAACGTGTAGTATCTGCCCACTTGCATCTAAAAATGACAAATCTAAGAAAACTGTAATAGTTAAGTTCAATTATGTCTTCTAACTTCCCATAATATGGCAAATTTGCTTGTCTTAAATTTCCATCAGCATTGCTTGCAACACATGATGTGTTTGAAGTTAGAAAAATTCCACTATTTTGTGTTTTTAAACCTTCATCTCCTCCAATGGTTCTAAAATTGTACCCATTAATGTTATATGTAGTGTATCTTTTTGCAATTGTCATTGGCCCTTTAGCCAAATACTTTATTTCATCTAGAATGACATTTGTAATGTCTGGATTTGTAGCCTAAATATAAAATCTTGTTAGTCATAAATATAAATTATAAATAATTTTTATGCAATATATGTTTAAACTTACCCGCTGACGAAACCAATTTGCAAATTCTTTACTAACTATCTTTTCTAACTCTGTATTTGAAAGCCTTCGATTTCTTGTCTTCCTCTTTGTGAATGTTTTAAATTCACTACCACAAAAGAATATAATGTTAAATTTAATTCATGAGAAGAATATTACTTTCACCATATATGAGATATCTAAATACTTATGGTTGGACTTGTGAACAATTTAGAAGCAAATATCGGTGTGCTTGTATTTTTTCTAATGGTGTAAGAGTGAAAGTTGATAAACTTCCCATTGGTCTACCTATTTAAGGATAAATGATTTTAAAATGTTCACTATCATTAGGACGGTCATCAACATGTCGACTTCTATTCAACTTTGACTCAACTTCTTCATATAATGAGTAAAAATTTAGAGTCTCTTCAGCTAAATAAATTTCACTTATAGATCATTCAGGTTGTGCTTTATTCCGTACAAAAGACTTCAAATGTCCTAACATCCTATAAAAAAATAAAACAATAATTAATATCTTCTTCAAAATAAGTGAGTTAAACATAATAACAAACATTTACCTCTCAATTGGATACATCCAACGATAATAGACAGGTCCTCCTAGTTTCACTTCTTCAACAAGATGACAAGTTAAATGGACCAGCACAATGAAAAATGATGGAGGCAAAAGGATTTCCAAATGGCAAAGAGTAAGCACAATTCGATGTTGTAGTTTGTCAAGATCTGAAACATTCAGTCTTTTACAACTTAATTCCTTAAAAAATGAGCAAAACTCTACCAACACTGCAATCACATGATCAGGTAAGACATTACGTATAACTATTGGAAGTAAATGTTGCATAAGGATGTGACAATCATGACTCTTGAGTCCAAATATCCTAGAGTTTTCATCATCAATGCAACGAGATATGTTACTTGAGTAACCATCTGGCATTTTTACATTCTTTAATGTGGTGAGAAATATCTTTCTTTGATCTCTTGTCATTGTAAATAATAAAGGAATATATTTTCCATTTTCATCTGGCCAAAGATCTTCCTTTATCCCCATATCTTGTAGATCTTGACGAGCTTGTAGATGATCTTTTGATTTTTCTCCTTTGAGCATAGTATACAACACATTATCACACACATTCTTTTCAATATGCATGACATCAAGGTTATGTCATAAAAGATTATCCCTCCAATAAGGAAGATTGAAGAATATATTTTTTTTCTTCCATTGGTTCCCTCTACTATTTGACTAAAGATTACTATCAAAGGTTATGACATCAAGTTGTTTCATGATTTCTAACCCAGATAATGATTTTGGTGCTCCTCTTTCCTCAATTGTTCCATCAAAGTGTTTCTTCATCAATCTAAATTTATGACTCCTTTCTAAAAATCTTCAATGACCCATGAAACACCATTTATTACTACGTCTTAGTCGGCAAGGTGCTGTATCAAATTTACAAGTTGGGCAAGCATAACTAGTATAAGTATTCCACCCAGATAAAGTACAAAGTCCAGGAAAATCACTAATTGTCCATATGAGAGCCACTCGCATTATGAACACTTCTTTCAAAAAAGCATCATAAGTTTTTGCACCTTCTGTCCATAACTCATTCAACTCTTTCAATAGAGGTTGTAGATACACATCTATCTTGTTCCTTGACATTTTTTTCCTGGGATGATCATAGAAAGAATAAAATAAGATTGCTTCATGCACTCCCAAGGAGGTCGATTGTATGGAATTAGAATCACTAGTCATATACTATGACTATTATCATGGTTCGATATGGATTGAAGCCATCAGTTGCAAGGCCAAGACGAACATTTCTAGGTTCTAAAGCAAACTCAGGGTGAAGTTGATCAAAATTCTTCCATGCTTTAGCATCTCTTGAATGCCTCAATAGTCCATCCTGGTTATTGTTTAAAACATGTCATCTTATAGACTTCGCTGTTTTTGGACACATAAATAATCTTTGCAGCCTTGGTTTTAAGGGGAAGTATCATAAGACCTTTGTTGGTATTTTCTTTTTGCTACTAGTACCCTTTTCTTTCCATCTAGATTTCTTACAATATTTACAACACTCCAATTTTTCATCTTCTCCCCAATACAACATGAAATTTTTTTGGCAAACATCTATCTTGGTATAATTAAGACCAAGCTTATAAATCACCTTCTTTGCCTCATAAAATGAAGTAGGAAATTTTGCATATGAAAATGCATCTGCCAATGACTCTAAAATCATCGTCATAGTCTTATCAGCCATACCACACAAACATTTTATATGATACAACCTTAATAGAAAAGACAACTTCGAAAAATTTTTGCACCCTTCATATAACTCTTGGTTGCAATCTCTAAGCAAATCATCATACTCTTCACATTCTTCACTGGGCATGGTTTCTACAAACTCAACTTGTTCATCACACATGTTAGACTCTATATCATGTTATCTATTCCTCCCAAATGCATCATTTATCATATCTATCATTGGATTTCCATTTTGTAATGACACATTTACTACTTCATTTTCCGTTGATACTATTGTTTCATATGTCTCCCCACACCAAATCCAAACTTTATAATTTGTTGGAAATTGCTTGCAAATCAAGTGGTCAAACACACCTTCTCTAATTTCCCATTTATCATAGTGACATTTAGGACATGGACAAATTATTGCACCATTGACAGATCAATTCTCAAATGCAAAATCTAAAAATCTATTCAGTCCATCCAAATATTCAATTGTATTTCGTGGCATATCAATCCATGATTTATCCATTTTTATATCTATCCAGCGAAGTAAGAAATAATTAAGTTGCAAAAATATTTTATATATCCTTTATGTACATAAACCAAGGTATAAAAGATACATTAATATCTCTTATGCTCTATATATAATAAATTCATATTTTATCCTAATGAACCACATCTATAAAAACAAATAATAAAAACAAACAAATGATTTTCAAAGAGAAACATTACCTTTTTAGTAAATATATGACTGAAACTTTATCCTTATAAAAAAATATAACGAAAAAATTCACCTTCTCGTCATCCAAAAAAAAAAGAAAGACAAAATATAGCATTTTTTTCGGGTTTTTCTTAATTATCAAATATATTTAGGTACCTATGATATTATAAACCTTTGATAATATCTCCAAACAAAAGGTTAAATATTTGTATTACTGTATATTAAAATAAATATAACTTTGTTTTCTATTTTAACTAATATTTATCTTCAATTATAATACACATCTACCATTATTAATACAAAGCACTTTGTTTATCCTTAAAGTATGTATTTATGAGCTAAGAAAAAATTATTCATTTACAAGATAACTAATTAGATACACAAAAATAGAGACAACAACAGAGGAAATTGTAATAATTGTAGTCGAAACTGCATTAAGAAATAAAACCCTTGATTTGCTTTAATTAATTAATTTGTTAGGAGAGTACTCATCTTCTCCTATTTAAAAATATCCAGTAGAAGAAACTAAAGAGAAATTGGATACACACTACACAGAAAATAACTGGCTTTCAATCCTCAAGGCCAAAACCGAAAAACTCTAAAACACAATGTTCTTCCCATTCTCACTTCCTCTATCATCTTGAGTGAGTGAATGAATGTGCTCATTTAAACTACTCTGACCTCACAGATAAACCCTTGTCCCCATCATCATCACTCTTTCACAACTATGCAGACCTGTAACAGAGAAATGCAAGGAATCAACTCCCTCTTAAACTCTTCCCAAATCTCCCTCCAAGACCTCCACACCACCCCAACTAGATCCAAAATTCACACATCAACAACCAACACCACCACCACCAACAATAACAACTACAACAACAACACCACCACTAGCAACAACAACTCCCTCACTTCGACCCTACCTCTCACGATGACTTTCTCGAGCAAATGATCTCTTCCTGCTCCTGGCCTGACCTCAACCCAAACAAGCCCTTGTGGGACTCCAACCCCCCTAGTTAATAAAACAAACCCTAAACCGATTCACACTGATTAAGAAAATTAGTAAACAAGTAATCCTTAAACCCCAAATCAATAGGAAGAAAAACCTTACCTCTATTCAATCTAAGCTAACTGTTGTGTAATCGGAACAAATTTGGAGCAAGATATCCAGCAAATCTTAGAGTTAAGAGAAGCAAAAATGGAGATGCATCAATAAACAGGAAAAATGAAACAGAGTGAAGGTGAGATTGGTATGGAAGATTTGCAGGCTTCAATAAACAATAAGAAATGAAAGATCACTGTGAGAAAGTATAAATATTTTGGAGGTTGGTATAAATGATTTAAAAAAAAATTAGTTTACATTAAATTTAATATATTGTTACTCATTAATTATTATCAATAATATTATATCAACTTTTAAATTAAAAAATTGTAGCAGTTTAAAATTTTTGCCAATAATTATATAATTTTGTGACGGTTTATAAAACTTAAAAAAAAAAATACCTCTACTAATTATAGTGTTATTCTGACAATTTTGGACTCTAAAATACCACACATTTTGAAACTGTGGTAGTAATGATACATAGTGACGACAAAAATATATCCCAACCATTCCACTTTGCAATGTGAAGTTCGATTTTCCTCGCTTTAATGGAAGCGACGTGCTCACATGAATTTTCAAAGCAAAACGTTTCTTTAGTGATTACAAATTAATTGATGAATATAAACGGATAATAATTGCAATCCATTTGGATAAAGAGGTGTACCTCAATTTCAAATGATGTTTCATGATAATCCGTTTCAAGGTTTTACTTAAGCATCAGAGTTATAATGTGATCCTCTCTTCATGAATGTTCTCATTTCAATTTGTTCAAATTAACTCGTATTAGTAGTGTGTATGAATATTATGTTTAATTTACTACATTGGCCCAATTGTGAATGACACTACTGTAGATGTTATTTTAGATTGTTTTATTAGAGGTATTAAGACTAACATCATGAGGGACGATATAATGCAAGCTTCTACCACTTTAACTCAATCTGTATCATTATCAGAACTATGTGAAGAAAAATAATCTACCAAAATGTTCATCAAGATATATTCTTTCCTACCTTCACCTTCGACTAATTTAAAAAAAAAAGGGTAATTTTAATTAGTTTCAGGTTGTTGCTTAAGATTGAAGGAAGTTATTATTCACGCACCTATATTGGCCTTGTTGGATTTCTATAGGTCTTTTGTACTTCAGACATATGCCTATGGTACAGTGACATTGTTATTGCATTCTTTTCCAAGAAATTGACACAAGGACTACAACTTCAAAGCCTTACACTAGAAAATTTTATTTTACTACTAAATTTATTACAAAGATTAACACTATCTTAGTCACAAATTTGTTATTAAAATTGACATAAAATTTTGAAAAGCTTAATTGATCAGACAATACAAATTTTTAAGCATCAAATTTGATTTCTAATTTTCACTATCATTTATGAGATCAAAGATTCTAAGTTTATTCAAAAAATTTGTGATATATTCTTTAAAAGAATACACGTTCAAATGTATTCAATTTTCACTAATATAAATAATCTCTTTTATAACAATTAAAAAATTACTATAACAACTGTTTTTTAACCATAGTTAAATTAATAAATTAATGAAGATTTTCATATTGTCCTTGTATGACTCATTATTACTCTTATTATTACTCTTATGACTGAGCTTCAACGCATCTAACAAAACATTGTCCTCTACTTCCATCTTAGCAAAATATCGTCCTCTACCTCTGCCTCTGCCTCAATAAAGCATTGTCTTTCACTGTTGTTCTCCTTTATAACAACTTTAAGTTTGTTGAAGACATTTGTGGTGAAAAAAAACACTTTGAGAAAGAGAGAAAATGGGAAAAGAAGAGAATAATTAAATTGTGATTGACAAAGGAAGAAGAAGATAGTTGTAACAGAGTAGGAGAAGAGAAAAAAATGACAAAAGAAGAAAAGAAAATTGGAAGCATGAAGATGACATGAACATAGACAAAGTTAAAAATTTTAATGAGTACAACGATAATTATAAATATAATCGTCAAACCCAAGTGTTAAAGTAGAAGAATATGAGAATGAAGACTAAAAGAAAAGAAATACAATTTTGAAATAAAAGAGAATTACGAAGAAGAGGAAGAAGAAAAAAAGAAAAGGAAAAAGTATAACACAAAATAAAAAAAAGGAGGAGGAGGAAGTAAATTAAGAAGGAAAATGTGAAGAATGAAACACTTTGATCATTTAAATTGTAAGGGTTGATCATATTCTATAAAATTAATAAAATGGTAAAAATGTAAATTACCTGTAAAAAAAATGTAATTCATCAAATAATTTACTGGTCGTGAAATTATAAATTACTAAACCATTTATAAGTTAGAGATAATGTGTTCCAGACGTTGGTTGTAGATAAAATATAACCATTTTGTGAATTGACGCATCTTAATAACAAAGTATTCGCTAAAATCATTATAATTTTTTTTTCCTGCATTATTTTGAAATGTATCCTTTCTTAACATAAAAAAAAAAACAGAAATTTGTTTTTAAGATCCTTTCGTAATCTAAACACTCTAAGTTACAATATACATTTGTGTATTCTAATATTAGACATGTTTGTATCCATTTGTATCTAGATATACCTCTTTGTATGACATAATATACTTTTAATTATTCATTTAATTATTATTTCAAATTGATTTCTCATTTACAATCGTCTTATGACAATATCAGGTAAACTACTATTTACAACTACATACATTAAAAAATGTTTCCAAAACATTTAAAGGCTTTTAATCATCTTCACCACAACGCATAGACATATGTTCTAAGTGAAACACGAATAGCACTAGTGGGCTAGAGAAGCAAAGTTGTAGACTCTGAGAGGAAATGGAAATGGGAAGCTCAAACAATGACATAGAGTTTACAATTAAGATGTTTACAATGATTTGGGCAAACCTGATGAAGATTAAGACTTTGCCACATCCTAAGGGAAAAATGAGTTTGGTGGCATTAGTAGAAGAGTGATCTTGCCTGTAGATGAAGGTGTTCAAAACACAATTTGACTACTCGCCAAGGCTTATGTTGTCGTAAATGACCCAAAAGAATATCTATCTAAGCAGTGTGTGTCTAATTTCTGTCGTTATCAATGACAAGTAATTAAATATGCAAGCTTATTTATGTATGCATAATATCTTATGTACGCTTACATGTTGTATGTGGATGGAGTAACATGTTTTTATCCATTATTTTTGGGATTAAAGGTTAAAGTTGTAAATATACAATAAAGTATATTTAATAATCATGAAGTTTTGGAGGTACAAAATCATAAATAACTTTTTTTAAAACGTAGTACTATCTTGATGTCCTAAATAATAATAAATGTGACATCACTTTATAAACGTATGTATTCTAAATATAAGTTTATTATAATTAAATTTATAAATATTGAATAAAAGTTTTCTGTACGATCAACTGAGTTTCTCCACAACCTATCTTAAATTTGAATTTGGTACATAAATGCCCTAATTTAAGTCAAGTATTATATAAATGTAGTTTTTAAATTTAGCAAATTTGAAACAACAAATACTCCTAAAAATTGGATATAACATTTTTTATTTTTTTCAAAATTAAATTCTATACATATAGTTAAAATATTTCGTGTGAAAATATAGTTTAGTTTGCAAATTATATATTGAATAAGTTTGATTTTTAAAATTTTTCACATTATTAAATTAATAAATTTTAAAATAAATATAATAAAATGTAATAATTTATCCTATATAATAATTTAAGATTATTTTTAATATATTATTATTTATATATTATTTATTAATATATTATTAATACAACCATTTTCATATTTTAAATGTATAGAAATGTTAAAGATTTCATTTTTATTTTTTACTTCAAAAATATATTTTTATAGAATTTAAAATTCAATTTCAAAATAAAAAGTTTAGATAATTTAATAGATGTTGAAAAATATTCAATACTTAATGATAAAGTTTGTTTTTGACAATATTATTATTATACAACATTTTATAATTTTTATTACGGAAAGTAGTAAGGAATATAACATGAAATGAAAATAGGACCTAAATATATATACATAATATTATGAATACAATTTGACTCTGTTTGTATTTTTCTCTTTCATTTGCCTCTTTTTCTTCTCAACTCTGTCTCTTTTCTTTCATTTATGGATCCCCCAAGTAAGCTTTTTGTTGCGTCCCAAGCAAGCGTCTTCCTCCATAAGCAACTCAGAGGTGTCTTTTCTACTCTCTTTCCCACTCAATCCCTTCTTTTTCCTCTCTTTAACCCCTACAACGGTCTTATCTATAATATTTGTTATGTTTGTAGTGTTGAATGAATCTATCTAAGGCTTCAACACATACATTATATTGATTTACTTGCATATGGGGGTGTGTTTGTGAGTTTAGGTAATTTGATGAGCTCTAGATTGCATGCTTTAAGCAAGACTATCTCACTACTAGCATTAAGATGAGTAAAACTTCTTTCTTCTCTCTTACCTTATTTCTTATATCTCTTATCTAAGTTATATCTATGAGACAAACCTTCTCTTTCTTGAAAAACTCTTTTCTTTTTTATCCAAAAACCTTCTTCTAACTATATAAATCGGGAAGCTCGAGTTCTCAAATCTTACACAGATTCTAGGTAGTCCATGTATATATTGTCCAAGAACTGACATCGCTTTAACACATTTATTAAGATATGAGTGATTAAATCTAAGGATAGATTTCTGACTATCACTTTTTTCTTAACTCAACCCTTATAAGGTGAAAGAAGTCGATATGTGTGGTCTCGTAATAACAAAACTAGCTCGGATTTTGTTGGGTTAATTCTTCAAATGATTTTATTGACCTAGTTGGAATGTCATAAAACCATTTAAGTGTTGGTCCCTTTAAAGTCATTGGAAAAACTTTGCAAAGAAAAACGTGGTTTTCCCTAAAAATAATTATTTGAGTCAAATAAGAATGGATGTGTTCATATGGATTTGTTCTTCCTCCAAATTTCTCCATGGTGGGAGCTTTCCATATATTTGGTAAAGCCCCTGCATGTATCTTTAGGACAAATGGACTCCCTAGCTTCAATTTTAATTATCCTAGAATGTGCACTTCCATCTTCTTAGGATCTGGTTCACCTTTGACCTTGCTTGGTTCTCCATCCAACTTTGGAACAACTTCTTTTTTGGTATCTCGGTGACTTGATTGTCCTTCGGGTGAGGATGACTGATACCATGATTGTGACTAGTATCAAGGGACAGTGGTGTATTTTGATCATTGATTTTTGGAGCCAAATAATATATTATTAATAAATAATAAATAAATATAAAAGGGTAAAAGAAAATGAAAGAGTGAGAGGACAACATTGTAAATATATAAACAAATATATTAATGATCATTAAGTTTGGAGGGGTCAAAATCATAAATTACATGGGAGTTACAAAACTTTTTTTTGGGGGGGGGGGGGGGTCATGGCTCTTCTTAGTTCCCAAGAAGATCTGTCATTATCGAGGGATGTGATGTCTCAAAGGAGATCAGGTCAGAAGGCGGATTTTCCTTTCTACTTCTACAATTTGCTCATGAAAAATTTTAATTTCTTCCTTATGCCTTTGCTCCACCACATTAATTTTTTATCATTTTTCCTTTACATCTCCTCTAAATGAGTTTGTATACTGTTAATAATATCTTCAACACTCATGATGATATCTTTTGTTCTTGTTTAGTTGTGACCTAGTATATATATTTCACAGGGTGTCATAGTGGACACCAAATATTCTTGAAAGAAAAAGAAGATAAAATAACTTGAACATTTTGACTTGATCAAGAAAAAATATTTGACCAAGCACTAGACGAGCTTTACTTTCTATTGAAAAAAATGGGAGGTTCATATGCAAAAACACTATGATGCTTAAGTTAGTAATAAGAATATGTATATCAATAAGTTTTTCTTAGATTATCACATATGAATAAGATGATATAATTTATACACCTCTTACAAGATATATTTTAGGTAATAAAGGGTATTTATTTAATGCTAATAATTTTTCTTTCTTGTATTATTGAATGTTGCTTCATGCTTTATTATATTAGTACCTATCGAAGAGATATTAATTTGAGGGAACATTCTTATTACAATAATGTTATAGAATTTGGACGAGTACATATGTCATTCAGATATATATATATATATATATATATATATATATATATATATATATATATATTCTTCAAATTATATTTTTTTAATCAAGTATTCTTCAATTAATGTTTGAAAAATGTAAATTAAATGGGAAGTTAATAAATTTTAGAGAATTTTTTTTATACTTTGTATTATATTATTCTCAAATTAGAGTCAACAATAAAAACATGAGATTCTTAATTATGTAGAAAACAATTTGACTATTATAATAGAGGCGCATGGGCATGAAATTGGAAATACCAAGGTTAGAGAGAATATTTTTCACATACTTTAGTTCACACGTGGTAATAACCATGAAACAATATTTTGTTTCAGTAAAGGAACAAGATACTATATGTTGTTTCTTTTTCTTTGAAAAAATGGGCAATTTTCCAAGAAAACAACCTAACTTATAATAGAATTACGAGTGAAAGGACATCACACCTAATCCGCCTCACATAATTCATGAAGTTTCATATCACTACTGTCCAAAACAATCTTTTGTTCAAGATTTCCTTTCAAATATTA